AACTATTTTTTTGTTTAAACAATTTTCAAAGGATTAATTTTATTAAAATAATTAAACATAGTTTTATCAATTTTGTAAAACTATGACTATACATATATCTTCATTTTAGTTGCAGTAARAGTTATAATATTCATGATTTCTTTAATTAAACAAAAATTAAAATACATAGGTAATTGATAATTCTAAAAATAAGTTGAAATTTTAATATGTCAATAAGAAGCCAAAATATTTTGAATCTAGAAAATGATAACTGGCCAACTGGGTGAATAATTTAGGCACTAGATTCTATTTGCTTAGAGATTGAAATGTTTTCACAGCTCTGAAATGAATTAATTAACACTCAAAAAGRATAAAAACACAATTGAGAAACCAATATATTTCATCTTAGCTCAATTTAAAATTTAATTTTAATTGTTTAATTTGTTTATGCTTCGCCTATGTTTTAAAAAAAACTATGAATGGAAATTAGCTTTAAATTACTTCTAATAAATAAAATATTAAATTTCATGATTGTTTACCTGTTGTGCTTCCATGAGCTTCATAACAAGATCATTAGGAACTTGCATATTAGGCTGTTGACTGCGATAATTATTTGAAGAACCATATTGACCTATGAAATAATTTAAATCAGAAATATATATTGATTTTTGATTATGAATAGAAATAATTATCCAGCGGCACGGTCATGGTGTGAGCTAAGTAAAACAATAAAATAGCAGCATGATGGTGTATATATGGTATATTGAAGCAAGAGTTGCCCATTTAAACTGTGTAAAATACAGTTACATTTGTTGTACRAAATAACTTTTTTCTAATACATCAATGAACTCCTAGTAAACTCCAAAACATTAGGAATATAGAGTAAAACAAACATGCTTCAGTAAAATTCATCAAAGTTTAGGTAATAAATGAAAAAGTGCAAATTTATATAAAATTCAGATTCACGGTGGCCATTTTTTGCGTTGTTTTGTTGCATCGAACGGTTTTCACAATGTCAGGCACGCAGCTCGTGGTCTAGGTGGCAGAAAATATTAAGATAACAACTACAAGAGTCAGTGCCGATTGTCGGCAGATTAAAACCATGCATTCATTTGGTTATCACTTATCTTCCGTTGTCGCTATTGTGTATATTATTAATTATTATAATAGTGTGTTTCTGTTAGTATAGCATATAACTGTCCGCAAGTCGCGTAGAACAGTAATGTTGATATAACCAACATAGTCTACACTAAGCTATTATAAAAATAGTGGTATTATTTAATTACAAATATACCAACCAAGTTGTACAAATAAAAGAGTTCAAAATAAAGCAATTTACTTATATAATATATAGAAACATTMTCATTTGCATCGATAATAACAATTTGAGATATCAGAAATTCAGAACAATAACCCTTCGTAAGCTACGTGTAAAAATGGCTAAGTAAAAAATTTAAGCACTATAAAAATGTGATATTATGAATAAATGCTAAGTATATTGAATTTAAGAGTAAACTTTTTTATTTCAATAATTTATTTACTTAGTGAGGAAATATATAGAATATATAAATACTAATATTAATATTTTTAAAGAATAATAAGTTATATTTCAATAGTCCTTCCTTCGTAGTGGCGCAACAAGTGGGGGTGTTGGGTGGTACTTACACTAGGGCACCTGACATTTTAGGGGGCACCATTTGATGCCTGTGTTTTTGGTATTTATTTTATTATAACATAAATTATCAAGATTTGAATAAAGATAGTATTGAGGTAATAAAGATTAATGAAGATATCAATATGTGTAGAGGACAACGTTATGACGGAGCAGCTGTAATGATTGCAAAAACGAATTTAAGATTAAGTTCCAACTGCATCTTATATACACTGTTGTGCGCATAATCTTAACTTAATAATGTCAGAAGCTGCAAAGAGTAACCAAAAAGAGTTAATGTTTTTTGAAACTGTTCAGGCTGTATTCAATTTTTTTAGTTCAAGTGCACCAAGGTGGGCGACTTTAGCTTTTGGTGAAGTAGATACAAATAAAATAAAGCWAAGATTCCTAAAAAAAGTATGCCCCACTCGTTGGGAATCACGAAACATATCTATTTATGCCTAAAAAGTGAGATTTATTGATGTTTTGAAATCCTTAAGCAATATTTCCTTAACAAGTCAGAAAAAAATATTGCAAATGCTTTAAAAAAAATTAGAAAAAATTGAATTTGTTTTGTTGTTATGCTTATGGGAAAAAATATTAAAAACATTATATGGAGTATCACAGTCTCTTCAACGTAAAAATACCAATTTACATAATGCTTGTCAAAACTTACAAGAGGCTAATTGTATTATTCAAAATTTAAGAAATCAGTATGATGATTTAATCTTAATAAGTCATAATATGTGTGATAAATGGGGAATTTCAAAAGATAACCATGAAGTTYGTTCTAAATTCGCTATTAAACATTTTGAAAAAGTTAATGGTGATAGAAGATTGAATGTTACAGAAGATAATTTTAAAGTTTGAGTTTTCTTACCAGTAATTGATACAGTTATTTTACAGCTTTCTAACAGATTTCATGGATTAAAGGAAATAACTGAAAACTTTGATTTTTTTACAACCAAGTACATTAGTTAATTTATCTGAAGATGACTTAATAAAAGTTTCATATGATTTTACACAATTATACAAAGATGATATAACCTCAGATTTAACCCGGCAGTTACTGTCAATAAGAGAATTAATTAATATTTTTWAAGTTAAAAGTATCGAACATTATATTTTATATATTTTAAATGCAACCATGTATTAGTTTTTTTTTTATGAAATAAAGAACCTACTTAACCTACCTATGYTATAATTTATATATATATATTTTTTTATCTATACTATAAAATATAAATATATAAAGAAAATAATATTTTGTAGAGCACCAAGTAGTTTTTGTAACTAGGGCACCATAAGGTCTAGTTGCGCCACTGTTCCTTCGCCATTTAATTATTTTGTTTTCACACTTTGTTTCTTTTCAGAAATAATTYCTCGCCAAATAAATAAATTATAGAATCAAAGTAAATTTAATTCAATTCAATATACTTATCAATTATTCATGATATCACAAAGGGTTTTCATTATGATTAATTTATGTAAAATCAATCATCCATTTGTGGTAAGGATTATTTATTTTATTTTGAATTCTATTTCCATATAAATATAAAATATTTAATCAATTCATATTTATTGTAGAGCTAAATTTTAATATTTTTTAATAGAACAAAACCATTATTAAATGTATGATTTTAAAAGATTTTATTAAGTAAAAATACGAACCAGCAGGGTTTTGACCTTGGTTAACCATATAGTTATGTGGACCCTGGGCATTATTTAGCATCTGTAATATAATTGTAACATTTATAATTAAAATTATATTTACAAATAATTAATAATTATTATTCCTAGTCTTAGAAAAATAAAATATAATACCTGTAATATGGAATAGTTTTGAGAGCTATTTGTTACATGACCATCATTGTTAGAGTTTTCGTGCTCATTTTGAGGCATCTAAATATTAAACCATTCAAAGTTCAAAAAAATGTCAACTGTTTAGAACTATATATACTTACTTTCATATTTTGCAGTTTCTTTAGTTTCAATTCTTCATGGAATTGAATATTGTTAAGTGGCGGTGAATAACCATTTTGTTGTCCACTAGACATACGCAATCTAGATTCAATTTCTTCAAGACTTTGAACTTTACCATTAACCTCTACAAAAAAAAAAAAAATTATAAAAAAGTTGAAGAAAAACCATATAACTTAAAATTACCTAAATCACGTATGGCGGCTTTAGGATCAGTCAATTGAGGTGCACTGGCTTTAATAACATCCATAATAGCTGGAGGAAGTTTATTGTTTTCACTCAATGTAATTGAGTCATATGCATTTGTTAAATTTTTTGATTCGTTTTGATTGTTATGTTTAACTATTCCCATGAGCATTGATGATAACTGTCTAGGGTCTTCTTCTGCATTATCTGTTGCAGCACCTTCTACAATTTATTTATTTAATTATAATTATTCTTATACTATAAATATACATATTATACATCATAGGTATTTTTTTATCTTACTATTAGTTGCAGAATTTAACATTTCAGTTGAAGCAGACGAAGCACGACTACTATCATGAGTAGTAAACCATTGACGGAATCGTGAACCAGCTACATTTCCATCAGTTTCCCCTTCAATGTGCATTATATCACTTAAGTAATCTGGCTTTAAGAAGTCATCAATATTGAAATCATTTAACACATTGTCATTTGTTTTATGTTCAGCATCATAGGCTTGAATGAACTCATTTCCAGTTATTGAATCAGAATCTTTTTTTGTTTGGTCTTCAGATTCATTCTACAAAAAAATAAAAATTATAATTTCCATTAAACTAAAATTGTGAATTTGAACAACTTTACATTTGGTTTATCAACTGTTGACTTTTTCTTTTTATCCTCATCTTTTTCTTTTTTAGTTTTCTTAGTTTTAGTTTCATTAGCACTTTTTACAGCAGCTGCTGATTCTGTAGATGTAGAGTCCATTGAATTCTTTTTAGTACGGGCAGCTAAATGTTTTTTATGTAATATATTAAGTATGTTAATCAAATTTTTGTGATAACATTGTTCACTTACCAGGTTTTGCTTTTTTCTTTTTTGTTTTGTCAACAGGTGGATCCTCAAAACCTCGCAATTCAATAGTATCATGTTGAGAAGTTGGGCCATCTTTTTACAAACAAAAAATACATTAATTAAAAAGAACTACCAAGCATGATATTATTATTTTATATAATTATTTGAAAGGACACCAAACTGTCAGTTACAACTAACTTTCTTAGGTATTAGATAGCAAATTTGCATTTGGTAGAACTAACTTTGTGTTGTTAGCTTTATACTACTGGTTATATTTATTTTATATATATATATATTGGGGACTTTAAGACCATCTTGCCATAGAACATATCCTCCCCCATTCTTCTCTATTTATATATATATTTAAGCTTTATGTAATCTGAAATTAGATGTTTTCATGGTCAAATGCAGAGGACGCATATCTACTTTTTCCCAGTAACACTCGAAAAAAATTTAAACTAAGAAGGGATTAGAAGTAAACAAAGTATTTAATTTATTAAATTATTAATTATGATAAATTATAGAACTCTCCTTGAATACTAGCCAGACAAATTTGATTTCTCAATTAGAAACTCATCTAGAACACCAAYTAATGAAATTATAATTCATCCTTGTCAAMATTTTGCTTGCTATAACTGCCAAAAATAGTTTTAGTTTAYTGATTAAGTATTTAAGTTTAATCATTGATCATAGTATTTATAATCAATGGTTTAATACTGGAATATACATAGTAACGATCTATCAGTGCATTTAAGATCAATCATTTTTATAATTTTACCAACTGACACAATGCACTGACCAATTTATTGATTATATCGAGAAATATGGTTTAAGACAGGGATGGTAAATTCATAGATTGACAAAATATTTTTAGAGTACGTAAAAAATTAAAATATATTTATTACATACATATATGTATAAATATATACATCCAGAGTGTCCCACAGAGATCTGACAAATGAAAWAACTTTTGTACTGATCAATATTTTTTAAAAATTTCTTTTAAATATAATCCATTGACACATGCGCTACATTTTTAGAATACATTTTTTATTTTTTTATTTTTTAAAACTGAAAATACAAAACTTAAAAATTGATAA